TTATTAAGTATATCTATTTATTAATTATTAATTAATATATAATATAATTAGTAATTAATAATAAATTATTTAATACAACTTCATTAATAATCATTAATTGTACTATGTTGATTCCCGCACAATCTAAAAGCCAAAGTTGCCTTTGGGCTGCTTCTAATTTTGGTTGTAGATTCTTCAAAAATTCTTTAAAAATCACTTTTTATAGTTTTTCCCAATCACCATTATTAGCTTCTGATGGCTATGAGAAGTGATTTTAGACTCCAAGAAGCACTACCAAACGCACCCAATGTTCTTCAAATCTCCATTTTGAATCATCATCAATTTCATTACGCTTCCTGCTTTAATCTTGTTGCATTGAAGTAGCAATCTATATTTCGATCCAACGGAAAACCTTCTAAATCCTCCATTAGACCTTGTTTCCAAAGCTTCCCCAGTAGTCGTCCTTAGCCAATATGCTCCCCCCAAGTCCAGACGGATAGTGAAGTCTTGCACTCTATTCCTCTCTGTGATCCTAGCCACACTACCCGCCTCAATGACTTTGAAAATGAAAATTTTGTGTTTAGTTATGAAATCCTGACTTAGGTGTTTGTAACTCATCCTGACTAACGGACAAGACATGACACTAATAACTCATGAAGTCTAGAGAGAATAGAGCTTCTCTCAAGTATGAAATATGAAAATAAATTGTCCATAAGAAGCAAAATACAAAAATATTTTCAAAATTAGAACTAATTTTAATCAAAGTGAAACGTTAAAATGAACTTCCTTCCTATACTTTCGAAGCAAAGGAGCAGAACTCTTGGTCAAGCTACATAAATTCTGGTTGAATACAATCACTTTTGTGTTGGAAGGGAATTGGAGATCAAAATAATGAAGCCTTTGATAAAGCAACCGTTTACACACAGAAACACATGGAAGTGCCAAAAGATAAAACATATATAAAGTTCTCCACTTTTAGGGAACGGGGATTATTCATAATGAGTTGTTCATCATTTATTTTAGTATAACTGCTGAGATCCTTTTGTCAAATATAGGTAGCATGAAGATTTAGTGTGTTTTGGTGAACCAGCTTAAGTCCTAAATCTTGTACTTTTCGCACGCACTGTAAATACAAGTACTTCTACTTACAGAAGAAAAGAGAGCGCTTTGGCCATTCTCATAAGTAGGCAACTGGAAACATTAATTTTGGAACTAATTGAACATATAAAGACTGTAATTATGAAAGCAATGAAGGATGCGACTTGATATTCATAAAGTAAGTGAAACAAAAAACGATCATGCCATTGAACAAAACTGGATTCAAATTATACCTTAGATGTGATCTCCTTTGTGCCTGCTTGAACCACATTCGCAGCCGACTGAGCCGCAGATGCGGCAACCAAAGATAATCTACCAAAACCCTATACCACAACAACAAAGCAAATAAGTTTCTTTAGAACGAACCAAGAAAAATTCATCAAAACCCATTATCAAATAAACTGCTTTAGAGCATAACGAACACCATTCTCAATCATCAATCAAATAAATTGCTTTCGAACATACTCAAAATACATTCTTTATCAAAACCACTAGCAAATCATCAAAACCACTATCAAATAAAATGCTTTAGAATCGAACGTACTAAAAAAGCATATATTCCCAATCAAAATCACGCACCAAATTATCAAAACCATAAAGGAAGAATGAAATGTTCACCTGAGAAACAACAGAAAAGACATCCGTTTCGGTATTATTATTCCTCTGAGAAGGCGCGGGGCTCGATCCGAACCCTACGTACTTTCCGCCTTGCGAAGGCGGAAGCCCCTCCGGTCGAGAGTCGTTCTCCGACATCTTCCTCGCAAAGAAGCCCTCCTTATTCGCCGCCGAAGCCTCCAACTGCACCCTCGTGTAGATGTCCTCCGTCGATCTCGACCTCGTTGGCTGCAATCCTCCTTCGCCGCCATTATTAACGCCTCTCACATTCCCCGTCGACTGATTCCTTCGCATATCAGTCGACGATCTAAATCCATCGTCGTTGTCCCAACTATCCCAACCTCCACCGCCGCCGCCGCCGCCGCCGTTATTCCGAGCCAAAGGCGGCTTCTTGTTGAGAGCCTCCTTGACAACAGGCGGGTCCCCCCACGGACGGCCTTCGGCTAGGGCTTGAATCCGGTCGCGGTAGACAGAGGCGGCGTTGGTGTTGTACTTGGTGACAATGTCGGTCTCCTTAGGGATGCCGTACTGAGCGAGGAAGGCGTTGAGCCTGTCGTTGCCGCCGGACTCCATCTTCTTGATCTGGATCTCGGACCATGAATCCATAGTGACAGATCGGACGAAGGAGATGTGGACGCCGAGGCCGCGGTGCTTGCCGGAGCACTCCAAGCACATGAAGACGCCATAGGAGACGGACGCCCACTGCGGATTCTTCTGCGAGCAATCGACGCAGATCTTGTTCCCTGGCTGCGATTGCAGATTCCGAAGCCGCCTCGATGCCGCCATTTCTCCTCTCCGATCCGATCAGATCGATCTGAATCCGATTACAAATTGGATCAGAAATCAGAAAACAAAAAGGAAATAGAAGAGATCGGAGAATCAAGGAACCGATTTGAAGAAAGGAAAATAAAAAATCGAAAGAGAAAATGAACCCAGAAAATTAAGGGGGAAAATTGGCTTGTGTTGAGGAGATGAATGAGGGATCACCGACACACAGCGTTAATCCGTCAGAGGAACATGTTTAGGCCACTGCTTCTTCTTCTGCTTTCTTTCTCTACGTTTTCTCTCTCCTCTTTATTCTATTTATTTTATTTGGACTTCCATTTAAGTTTTTAATTTGAAAAGTGCGTTAATACTTAATTTTAAAATAAATTTATTTTTAATATAAAGTAAAAATGATATTATTTTAACACTCATTTTGATTTGATCTAAAATTAATTTTAAAATTATGTTTAGTTAATTTTTTAAAATATTATTTTAAATATAATAAAAAAATAAAATTATATTTATTAATTTATATATTATAATATTATTAATAAGTATTAAAAATGAAAATAGTTTTTAATTACTTTCTAATTTTTTTATAAAAACTAATCTTACTATTTTTATTTTCAATTTCATTTTTAAAAAATTTATTAAACAAACTTCGTTTCGCTTTTATTTTTATTTTTTGTTTTTTGAAATACGTAAAAACTATTTTAAAAAAGGTTCCAAATACGCATTTAGTTTTTATAATTAAAAGCTTTTAAAAAATATTATATTTAATTTTTTTATTACAATTAAAAACTCTTAAAAAATATCACATCTCGATTCAAATTAAAAACTTGAATCCGTGAAGCGAATAAAACTTTCATTTCATTTCATTTTATTTTTGAATTCAATTCTTCGTGTTTTTTCCACTTGTGCCGCGTGATCTTTCCACCCATCTCCGTTTAGGCACCCCCACGGTCTGTCCATTTTTTTCCTACAGCAATGGTGCTAAATAACATATTTTTAAAATTTGTATTGAGCAAAAATATGTTATTATTTTTGCTAAAAAAATATGTTATTCTTTTTATTAAATCTTTTTATTGTTTTCTTAATTATTATTTTTAACAATTGTATCATATTTATCTACTACCTAATAACTAGTTAAAACTCTGCATATTATATAAGTGAGAGTAATACAATGTGTTAAGTTTTAATTACTATATTATTACTTTTTAAATTTATTTAATAATAAAATCTAAGTTAGTTAGAGTTAAGAAAAAGTCAAGGGTTAAAATGAACAAATAAATAGGTTTTAGAGCAATAAAAACTAATATGTGAATAACTAAGGTTTTGTTCGCTTTAGGCCCCGTTCATTTCACCGATTCGAGTTTAGAATTCGAGTTTTGTTATAGTAAAAAGCTTTCAGAAACAATCACATCTAACTTTTTTTACTACAGTAAAAAGCTCTCACATAAAATTACATCTCAACTCAAATTAAAAATTTGAATGAGCGAACTGAATGGGCCCTTAGTGAATTGAAGTTTTCAATTCGAACTAAAATGTGATATTTTTTTAAAACTTTTAACTATAATAAAAAAAGTTAAATGTAATATTTTTTGAGAACTTTTAACTGTAAATGGGGGTCTAAAATCTTAAGGTAAAAATTTTAAAAATAAAAAAAAAGATTAAAATGAAAAAAATTAATAAATTCTAAGGTAAAAGCCAAAAGAAATAAGAACTAAAAAATAAGGTTTAGAGTGTAAAAAAAGAAAAAACTAAAACGTATTAAATTAAATTAAATTTATGAATTTAAAATTATTTTCTATTTATATATATATTTTGTGTAAAAAAAATACTATCATCAATTATAAATTATAATTTAAATCATGACACGAATATATCAATAAAATACCTACAAAAGAACCAGAGAGCAGAGAAAAAAAAAAAAAAAAAAAAAAAAAAAAAACCTAAAAAGTTCTTCTTCAACACTTTCTCGCGCTTCCTCTCCTCTCTCTTCTTCCCCTTCTTAACGTCTCTCACCCTCTCCCTCTTCTTCTACGTTACTTCTCGCTCTTCTTCTTCTCTGCTAGGGTTTGCCCTCCGGCGGCGGGTGAAGCTCCGACGCTGGCCGAGTCAAGCTCGGAAGGTAAGTCCTAAATTCTCCCTCTCTTTATTCCTGTAATGTGTTTCCTTAATTTTTTTTGTTGTATCGAGATTATCTTTTTAATACATTTTAATGTTCCTTTAATCTGTATCGAAATTAGATTTTGGGGCTCAAATGAGGTCATTTAGTTGTCTTTGGTTTTTCCACCAAAAAAAAAAAAATTGTATGAGGTGGAATTAAATCTCACTGTTGAGTAGAGAGAGAAATGTTGGAATTTGACTCAACCCTGATATGTTTTGTCAGATTTGATTATTTTCCTGTTAGTGCTTTTTGATCTTGAGGGCTTAAAAGGTTCGTTTGCTCTCAAATCTAGCAATGTTATAACCCCATATCTTTGATTCTGGTGAGTTGATTCGTTTGAGTATCTGAACATGTTTTCCAATTGATTAACGTTATTGCGTTAGAGCTATACTTTCATCTCTTAAGTCATAAGTTTAACAGACTAAAGGTAGGTTTTTAGCTTCTCCAAGAGTTGGAAAGAAAAGGATGGTTTTTTAGATTTTAAATCATCACTTGCACGACTAGTGTAAAGGCGGACTCCAGTGCCAAAGAGGCTCCCGTACTATGACAGGCTCGGGGAAAAGTTCAATCTCATATGTACGCGGCCTTACCCCCGAAGGAAAGGCCGTTTCCGGGATTCGAACCTTGGACTCCGGGTGCAAACGCAAGCGCTCCGACCACGGTGCCAAGGCCCACCTTCACTTGCACGACTAGTGTATTCTCATAAAATGAAAACAAATCATGAGTTGTCAATTGCCATTTCCAATAAGAAATTTGACCTAACCGAACACAAAAGATAAAGCTCTAGCTCAAAATCTTAAGAAAGAAAAACACGGTTGCCATTTAGTTAAGAAAGCTTAATAAAATTGGGAATTTATTTGTATCTTCTTTTGTACAGAGATCAGTAAAGCACTAGCCTCTACGATAAAAACTTTTCATAGCCTACTCTCATTTCTCCCTGCTCCCTTATATGGAGTTTTCTTTGATTGCTTATTTCTTTGGGTGTTTTTCTTTGATAAAAACATCTTTGAGGTGCCAATGTTTCTGACACTTTGAGAGAAACAGTTTGATTCTTGATGGTGGTATAGGTTATCAAGAGGAGGAGGAAGTTGGATATTTGGACTATGCTTACAGTTGTTGTTTGAACATTTCATGTGAAGTAGTAAAGAGAGATATGTTATGTGGACTAGTCTTGTGTATTATTGAGGCCATGAAATTGATTAATGAAATAGAAGTAGTTTTATTTTATACCTGCACTTGACCTTCTCTTGATGCAAATAAACTTCTTTTGCTACTGTGATGCAAATAAACCTCTTTTAGGTTAATAGCATGAGCATCATTTCCATTTTGCATTGAAAATCTAGCAGATGAGATAACGAGTAACGCGCTAGAGGGAAGGATAGTAGGAAACCGTGGAGGGAAGCTATTGACGTTTTCTTGGGGTTCTTTGGTTGGAAACTTAGATTAGAAAGAATATAATTTGGTAAAGAAGGAACCATTCAGAAATGACACGAGTTATCCAACTGCTTCATACCTACTAATTAAATTAGAACTTAGGATCTTACTTTCGGAAAAGTGTATTCTATTGTAATGAGAGAGAGAGTGAGGAGAGTAAGGAGAGAGAATGATGAGAAAGTGGTGAGAGAGAGACGAGAGAAAGGAGAGAGAATGACGAGAGAGAGGGTGAGGTGAGAGAATGATGAGAAAGTGGTGAGAGAGAGAGGAGAGAGAGGATAGAGAATGATGAGAGAGTAAAGGAAAAAATAGAACAAGTGAAGTTATTTATTTTTTCTTATTTTTTTTTAAGATCCAAACTCAAGGAAAAAGAATTACAAGGAATCCTCTTTTTTCTTTTTTTTTTTTTGTCTCTAGTTTTCCTTTAGTTCCAAACACGAGAAAAAAAATTTTCTTTTTTTTATTCCTTAGTTTTTTCTTTGCTTGCATTTTCTTTCATTTTTTTCCATCCTAAAATCTAGGTTCCAAACATAGCCTAAAGGAGCTAAGGGCTCTTATTTGACCATGATAAATTAGTTCAGGGATGACCTGTTATTGTATTTGTGTTTTTGAAGTTTGGTTGTTAATTCTCTTTGCTTTTAGCCATTTATGTTGCTTTACAGATTGCAGAGGACCATGGCCTCTGTATCTGCAATTTTTCTGAAACATTTATTAGCCATCATAAATCAGAAATGTTATGACCTGCAGCAATGGATATCTGACATTAGAATTGTGTCCTTATTCCCTAGGTTCTGTTTATTAGTATTCAATGGAAGCCCAATTACCAAACCTATACAAAGCTGTGATTTTTGTAGTTGTGTTTTTGATGAAGATTAGACCTCTATTTAGCTATCTGTTTTAAGTAATCTGCCACACCAATATCTCCTTCACTTGCCGTTCAAGTTTCTATATTCAAAATGTGTGTGTTTGCATTTGGTCTCGTGATCCGTTTCCTCAAACCTTTGTTAAGAAAATGACTTGAAACACTTTTGAGCATAGCACTTCTTGCCATTTCTTTCTACCTTTCTCTAAATCTAAGTGGAGCTCTTTACTCTTGATCATGGCTTTTAATGTACAAGTTGTAGCGTAAGTCTTTCTCTCCATCTCTATGTATCTATTTATTTCTCAAAGGTGAAAATAAGAACTTGTTACTGTTTGACTATTAGGACTAAGCAAACCATCTGCATAGCAGAGCACAGCAGAGCTGCCACCTGCCCACTCCGACGAAGAGAGTGAGTTTGAACTCTCTTAACTACAAACACATTCAGAGACCCAAAAATCCGCGCAATTGACTTTTGGTCATCGATGGAGATTAAGTCGCTGACTTTTCCAGTGGATAGCCCTCCTCTCATGGTTATCGCTGCTGCCAAGATTGGCGCCATCCCTTTTACTGCCGATCCCTCCACCGCCCCTGTACCTGCTCCATCTTTTCTCTTCTCTAATGGGTATTGCTCCTAGTCTTCATTTTTTTTTCATTTCTTTTAATTTTCGAGCTTTTTTTTAGTCTCCTAGTATTGCTCTTTTTCTTCATTTTTTTTTTTTTTTTTTCATTTCTTTTAATTTTCAAGCTTGTTTTTTAGTCTCCTTTAGCTATCTATTTGAATTTTCTTCCCAACCGTTTGCTGCTGTTTGTTTGGTTGGGTCATTGTTTTTGTACATAGAAAGTGATAAATTTATATAGTCCAATTTTAGATCAGATGGTTTATAAATGGTTATACTGCTATCTATAATTAAAAAAAATAAATCTTGGGTGGATTTATGTTTTGCATCCTCCCAAATTCCTAATTTGAGGCTTTTCCTTCCTTTTTTCCAAGCAATGGGTTAGTTTGGTTCTCTGGTGAAGTGAAAACTTTGGGTTATTTTTGTTTCAGACACTATATATAAATTAGTCCTGTTGAGGGGATCTCTCTCTCTCTCTCTCTCTCTCTCTCTCTCTCATTTGATGGTTATAAGATGAGGTTTTTCACGGTCTTAATAGTTTGTTTTGTGATTTCTAGAATCTTTGTTTTGTTGCATTCACAAAATAGCTGAGAAAACTCACAGCTTAATAATACTTGTATCTTAGGTTGAAATTGCATGGTACTTATGTACTTCTTCGATACATTGGTCGGATTGCAAGCATTCCTGATTTCTATGGGAAGAATGCATATGATGCTGCCCAGGTGACTTTCCTAAACATTATATGTTATCTTCTGTTTTCTTTGATGCAGAATGTTCTATTTTGTTCTACTTTTGTAACACTTGTACTGTTCTCTTCACTTCTTATTTTTCACTTTTCAGATTGATGAGTGGCTGGAGTATGCTCCTATCTTTTCTTTGGGTTCTGCGTTTGAGAGCGCGTGTAAATATGTGGATGATTATTTACTAGGGCGTACTTTTCTGGTCACTCATTCATTGACGATTGCAGATATAGCAATCTGGTCTCTTCTTGCAGGTCAAATAGTCCTGAGCCTATCTTGTATATTTCTACATTATTATTATTATTATTATACTTAGGCTTGCATATAAAGGTTTCCTTTTTATTCTTTGCTTCTTCAGGAACTGGGCTAAGATGGGAAAGTTTGAGAAAGTCAAAGAAGTATCAAAATCTTGTTCGATGGTTTAACTCAATACAAACTGAACACAATGATGCTCTAAGTGATGTCACAACAACATATGTTGGCAAAAGAGGCGTGGGAAAGCCAGTAGCTGCTAAATCAAAAGAGAATCAAGTTGTCAGTCAATCAGCAAAGTCTGTGAATGGAGATACAGCTGCTAAAGCCGTAAGCAAATCTTCTTCATTTGAAATAGATCTCCCAGATGCCGAGCCTGGAAATGTAAAGTTACGGTTTGCTCCTGAACCCAGCGGCTACCTTCACATTGGACACTCAAAAGCAGCACTGTTGAACAAGTATTTTGCTGAGCGTTATGGAGGAAAAGTTATCATTCGCTTTGATGACACAAATCCTGCAAAAGAAAGCAATGAATTTGTGGATAATCTTCTGATTGATATTGATACTTTGGGTATCAAGTATGAAACTGTTACATTCACTTCAGATTACTTCCCTCAGTTGATGGAAATGGCTGAAAGTTTGATTCGCCAGGGCAAAGCATACGTTGATGATACCCCACGTGAGGAAATGCAGAAAGAAAGGATGGATGGAATTGAATCTAAATGTCGAAATAATAGTGTGGAGGAAAATTTAAAATTATGGAAGGAAATGATTGCAGGGTCCAAAAGGGGTTTGCAATGCTGTCTGCGGGGGAAGCTGGATATGCAGGACCCGAACAAATCACTTCGAGATCCAGTGTATTTCCGTTGCAACCCAATTCCACATCATAGGATTGGATCCAAGTACAAGATATACCCTACTTATGATTTTGCATGTCCTTTTGTTGATTCCATAGAGGGTATAACGCATGCATTACGATCCAGTGAGTACCACGATCGCAATGCACAGTACTATCGAATTCAAGAGGATATGGGTCTGAGAAAGGTTAATATTTATGAATTTAGCCGGTTGAATATGGTTTATACTCTTCTGAGCAAGCGTAAGCTTCTATGGTTTGTCCAAAATGGAAAGGTTGATGGATGGGATGACCCTCGATTTCCAACTGTCCAAGGAATTGTGCGTAGAGGTCTGAAGATTGAAGCACTGATACAATTTATTCTTGAGCAGGTTAGTCAATTGTTTAATAATGTTTAAAGCCATCTCTTTTTGTGAAAACCCTTGCATCTTGAACTTTCCTTTATGGAATTAATATATATTTTATATAATATATTGTTTGGATTCCTTATAATTTAACAAACCAACAGAATGTAGCATTGTGTAGTGTTTCTATGACACGCTCAGTCTGACTAATGCTTTTTTATGATCCTTCCTAAGTTTGAAACTAAATTCGTATTAGAATTTTGTGAAATTGTTTTAGAACAGCCATTTTTTTCCTGTCTCCCTTTTTGAGAGTTTTGGCAACTGATCCAACGTTTGCCGTTTCAGGGGGCTTCAAAGAATCTCAATCTCATGGAGTGGGACAAACTTTGGACCATCAATAAGAAGATCATCGACCCTGTGTGTCCTAGGCATACTGCTGTCATTGAAGACCGGTGTGTGTTGTTGACCCTCACTAATGGCCCCGAGAAACCGTTTGTCCACATCATACCTAGGCACAAGAAATATGAAGGCGCTGGAGAGAAGGCAACAACATTTACGAATAGGATATGGCTTGACCAAGCTGATGCTGAGGTGCTGACAGTAGATGAGGAGGTTACACTGATGGATTGGGGTAATGCCATTATAAAGGGAATTGAAAGGGACCAAGACGGAAAAGTGACACAGTTGACGGGTGTTTTGCATCTCGAGGGATCTGTGAAGACTACAAAGTGGAAGCTTACTTGGCTGCCTAAAATAAACGAACTTGTTAACCTCACGCTGATGGAGTTCGATTATCTGATCACAAAGAAGAAGGTATGTATGTAGTAAGCAAACAATCCCTTCTTAGAAATAGAATCATCTTATTGTATTCACAATATTATTTTCATGCATCGGTGATATATTTCTATTCTTTCACTGTACCCTTTTGCCTGGATGATTTGTATATAGGGTTGTGACTGTACTCTAATGATTCTGTTTTATCTGTATACTTTGGAAACATAATTAAGGGGTTCTTAAGAACTAAGACACGGGATAATGCAAACAATTATGGCTGATGCAACCTGAAAAAGGCACTTGAGTTGTGTGCTGCACGCATGCTTAAAATTCCGTGTCAAGTGTTCTGCATACAATCGAAATTTTGTTATTGAGGTATAGTGAACTAAACCATTAATTTTGGATTGTCATTGTAGCTTGAAGAAGGTGAAGATTTCCTCGACGTGCTTAATCGGTGCACGAAAAAGGAGACGGCAGCCATTGGAGATGCCAACATGAGGAATCTCAAGCGTGGAGAGATACTGCAGCTCGAGAGGAAAGGGTACTTCCGATGTGATGTACCCTACCTCAGGCCTTCAAAGCCTATTGTTCTGTTTGCGATTCCAGATGGCCGACAGCAAACCTCTTTGAAGTAAAAACATAATAATTCCATTCATACGGCTTTCTTCTACTCACTTTCAAACCTGTTTGAAACATAATAATTTCAAGAATGTCTTCAAATTTTACTACATGTACTCCCTGAACTTCATGGTAATTTGGCATTTTCCCACTTAAAAAGTTATTACTTATTTATTATCATCATTCTTCTATAAAAAATAAAAATAAAAAAATAAAAAAATTAGGGGCGAAGTATTGATACAAAAATTCTTAGTAATCAGTATAAAACTTGAAGAAGAGTTCAATGACTCAACGAGATTACTCCTAATTTATTTAAATGATATTTGGTTTATGGATTTATAATTATGAGTCAGAACTATTCTCGGTTTACATATATTTTTTATGAGAAAAAATATTGCAGTGAATTACGAACTATAATTCGATAATTCTCATATTAAACACCCTCTTATTTATGCATAAAAAAGCATATTCTCATATTAAACACCCTCTTATTTATGCATAAAAAAGCATATTCTCATATTAAACACCCTCTTATTTATGCATAAAAAAGCATATTCTCATATTAAACACCCTCTTATTTATGCATAAAAAAGCATACCATTCGCAAACTGAATGGTTCAACAAAGGGCCTGAACTACCCACCCAAGAGTTATGCATAACATAAAAGAGTTAAAACAATAAATGGGAAAACGCAAGGGGCATGCATATAGAAACACACTTGTACGACACCCAAATACTAACACTTATTTTCACACCACACATTGCTCATTTCTGATCCTGATCATTGCGTCCTTCGCTGATCCAGCCATATTCTTGGGCAGTGATGCCGTAGACTTGTTTAATTCTAATTGGTGTTGTACGACAAGCACCGAGGATCGAATGCCGCCTAATTGTGAGGAAGCTAGTGTTTCTCCAATGGGTCCAAAATCAGCTTGTTCCATCTGAAATCGAGACACCATTGTTGAATGTTGGAATCGTCCCTTTCCCACAATCACCAGCTCATACACCTTTCCTTGCCCTATGCTGATCATCACAGCCTCGGCTAAGTTACCCTCCACCTCCTTCTCTATCAACTCCACTCCCAAACCATTCACGCACCTCCTTTTCAGTTCCGCCATTGCAGCTTCATCAAGGTCCTGAGTTTCATATTAATTAATGCTCTATCAGAAGAACTTTAACTCTCGTAAAGAGTCACCTTTTAAGTCCAAGTCTCTTATTAAAAAAAAGCTTTTATAAATTAACTTTGAAACTTATACTAGAGCATTAATATGACATTATAAAATTCATTTTAAATATTTTTTATTGCTTCGCTTATAGGAAAATTTAAAAAAATCGTTTTCGGCTAATAAACGTGTTTAAACAATGTGTAGGAAACTAAACACTCACCGGAGAAGATTGTTTTTGCCAATAGAAACGACAAAATATCTACTCTAATTTTATTTTTATAATAATTACTCAAGACTGTTTGTACAGGGAGATATTCCTTGGATAAACAGTAGCTAAATTTGGTAATAAGTTAGTTTCATATTTAAAATAAAAATAAAAATAAAAATCTCGAAAAGGGACTTAAAGTTGTATAATTAATTACCTTCTCCATCTCGTCATTAATGGCAGAGATTGAGCAACAATATCTCTGCTGATTGATGATCTCATGTTGTGGAGGCTTCTTAATCAGCAACCTCACCATCGTAACCCTAAAATCTTCTTCATGTACTTGTGCCATCCTCCAACCCAACTCCAAGGCCTCGCGATCGTCGGCTCCGCCGAGAAACAGAACACACACCTTCCTTGTCCGGTTACAATTATAATTGGACATTGCATGACTACTAGCAAGCTCAGCAGCCACAAATGCATGACCGAGCCCCCGGTCGATAAACACCGCGACCGAGCACGGCGCATCTTTCATTACTCTATTGTTGACCCCTCTCCAGTCATGCCCCAAATCCAGGGGCGCTTGATTTTCACCATCATCACGACGATACTGCTTGTGGAAGGGCAACAGGATCATCAAAACCCTCTTCGCTTCCACCACGTGGAGAATGTCCTCATGCATAGTGGATAGTGCCGACACGGAAGTGGAGTGGCGGACGGTGACTAATTCACCTCCGACAGCTCGGCTCATGTAGGCCTCAAATGCCGCCGCGACTTGTTCATGCAATGTGAGGCTGGCACCGCTGTTGCCACCTCCTCGGCGGAAGCGGTTGACGAGGGGAAAGCCGTTCTTTCTTGATCGTTGGACCATCATGATGGAGGAGGAGCGGTCGGTGAGTTCTACGAGATGCATGACGTAGAGCTTGAGCGGTGATTTGGTGCGGAGAGAGTCAATGAGGTTGACAAGTGAGGAAATGCTTTCGGGTCCATGGATGCATGCCAGAATGCGGAGCCTGTCATCGTGATCATGATTATTATGACCGTCCTTAGTTTTTGATTTTGAGGTTGTACTTTCGGTCATGGGATTTTGTTGTCTTTGATTCGGATTATTAGCTTCGTCCGATGATTTGTAAATAGCAATGACTGTTGGTGTTGTCATGAAGGTGGTAAATAAAGCCATCAGCACCAAGATTGCGAACATCTCATCGTTTAAGACCTGAACAAGAAAGAGCTAGATTCAGGGGAAAAAAAACACATACGTACTCTTTTTTTGGTGCCAGAAAGTGTAATAATACTGTATTATGCACAAATAAAATTACTGTAATTATAATTATTTCTAAGAGTAAATTTAGTGAACAATACTACGAGCACCAGTGGTATTCAGTACGTACCACATATTAATAATAAAACGCAATTTCATAATGGGAGTTCATTAACTTTTATATGTCATGATGTTAGAGCGTCTCCTGAGAAAATTTTCAAATTTAGTTGAATATTTAGATTAGATACTATTGTTACGATTCAACCAGGAAACAGACTGCAGTCGCTTTCATTTAGAAATATATTATAGTACTAAAGATGTGACCAAAAACCTTCAAGTTTTAGTACTGAATATTAAAGTCAAGCCAAACTTTCTGCATATATAATATATTTGTATATGCAGCACAACACCATTTATATATATATATATATATATACACACACACACACACACACACACACACAGATATGCCCACTTAAATTTTAGTTGTGACCAAAAACTCTGACTGATTGTGCCCTAGGACTAGGAGTCTAGGAGTACTGGGCGGCTTTTGGAGTGTCCACTCCACAAATTTGAGACATTCTTATTAGCAGTTTTTTGCTTAATAAATAAAGAAAAACTGTCTAAGTTTTTTTTTTTTTTTTCTTGTACTGTCTGATTTTAATTTGCTTCTGCATTTCAAATACATATAGGTAAGTAATTATCTCAGGAAAACGACAAATTAAGATTTGCCAAGCTACTTACAAGTATGTGTCTGTGTGTGTGTGGTTTTTTTTTTTTTTTTTTTGGTAAGTTATGAAGTAAAAGTAAAGCTAAAAAATAATTGATTTAGCTATATATATATATATATATATATCTTACCACTGCTCTAAGAAGTAATGTTATCATGTAGAAACTGTTCAGTAGATATACTCTAAAATTCTACATTATCATGCTTATATAGGGTATAATCATTGACATTGACTGATTTGTCTTTGACAATTTAAATTGCGTAATAATCAATTTAATTATTTGTTGAGCGGATGTATCACATAAAACACATGAGCACATCCTACACTACGCTACTAAGTATAAATAAGTTCGTCATGAGCATGATTGAAAAAGGTACTCATGTTATCAATATTATAATATAGGAGGATTGCATGTAGATGAATTCAAAATGGCTTTAATTAAACGCAACCAAGAATCATCCATATGGGTAATGCTCTTAACAATTAGTCTACAATACATTGGCTGAAAATTAATTATTGTTATATGCGGAAAATTGGAAACCAATTTTACACATAGCGTGCCCTAAAGATGAAACTTTATTTTTAACCTTCCAACTACCGAAATTCAAAGAGAGAGAAAACTTTATGCGAATTGGTTTAACAAAAAATTAGGATTTTTTTTTATTATATATGGTTCGATGTTGACAAGCAAAATAGTTAGCGCAACATGTTATAAATAATATATATATATATATAGCATCGATCCCCACTATTACAAGCATATTGATATGGTCTAGATCTTATCTTTAGCATATAAAACCCTATGATGAATACCTTGAAAACGAAGATTAACAGTACTTTAATTAAATTGTTCTTGTTCCGCCCAAAAGGATGGCGTTAAAAGGGCAGTGAATTTATTCTAGCTCAATCTCATAGCATCCTTCATTTATGCTCATATTAAATAAAAAGCTAGCAAATCAAGGTATTCTAACTGTTAATTTTTAGATTATTTTTATGGAAACGTGTTAACTCCTAATTAGTTTTTCTTAACGAGAGAGAGGATAACTAACATCAAAACTAGTTAGAACTTCTTAATTAGCAGGTGGCAATCACTAGCTTGTTAGCAGATCACATACCAAAGCCCCTCTCAGATTTATTAAAAACATATAAAAAGGAAAAATAAAAGCACTAAAAGGACAAAGTTTTATGGTAAAGAATTGATAGAGAAAGCCCTTTTAGCTATCTAATTTAATTTTTAACAGTAGGAGTAATGAGTATTCACCTTAAAATAGTGCATGAGACGACAAAAAAAAAAAAAAAAAGGTTTTCCGATTCATAGAATTAACAGTTTAAATTAAATCCGACATTTTAAAACATATTCTACCAATAACGAAAATGGATTGTGTGCAGTTCCTATCATAAATTTTTTTTTTTTAAAAAAAAAAAAGTGCGAAGCCACCAACATAAACAATCTGGAAAAAGACAAGAATATGATCACAATCTGAACAGCCTAGCTAAAAGATCACCACCTGCAGAACAAAGATCTACTCTACAAAAAAAAAAAAAAAAAAAAAAAAGCCTCAGTGTTAATTTCTAATTAGTCGCAGAACTTGCACAATATAATAATTCTAAAATGATAATGATTTAATAAAGTAAAAGGCATGAAGTGTTATTAAATTAATTCAAAATTTTCAAACGCACAATTAGTAACTTCTATAATATATTCCAAGAAAAAAGTCCACTTTATATATTCCAAACAAGATTCTAGTGTCGTTGTCAAAATTAATGATGACACACACTACTAAGATAATCAAAATCTAATCATATATAAAGCATATGCAAGTAATAAAAAATAATAATAATAAAAAAAAGCAATCAATATTTTGAAGATGCGAGTATAAAAAAAAAGGCAATCAATTATGAATGAAATCTTGAAAATGCAAAATTAATAACCTTCTTCTCCTTGCCAATATTGAGAACAATAAGCTCCACCAAGCCCTTGGTATTCATAAGCACCCCTAACTTGAAGGATTCCCTAACCGGAATCATGCACATGACGGCCACCACAAAGGTTCCGAGAATCTTACCGGCGCACGACGTGAATATGACAAGCAATAGGAGCGCCCACGCCTGCGCGCCTCTTATCTTGGTGATGTCTGTCTTTAGGCCGCTGGATGCGAAGTAAAGCGGCATAAGCAGCCCCAAGACGAAGTCCTCTATCCTCTCGATCAGCCTCCGCTCAAACTCACCCCCTTTCGGGATCGTTAGCCCGAAGACAAAGGCCCCGAAGATGGAATGTATCCCTATCAGGTCTGTCACAAACCCCGATGCCATCACGCCGGCCAGCGTCAGACAGATGCATGCCTCGTCTTGGAACAAGTTTCGTCGGGGCTGTGACACCCAATTCATCAATCGTCTCACCAAAACAAGCATGAAAGCCACGAACAGAAAGCCGGATAATAGCACCCACACTGACACTAAGGGGCTACTTTTGTGGTCGCTGTAGGAATAGGATAAAACATGCATGCATAATCTTACTAATTTGTAATATATCTAACATATGATATATAAGCGTTTCACTATATTAGTTGAAAATTTTAGTGGATCGACACAAACGAATTGAAGAAGGCCTGCCTGTGTTCATTGCCGCCGGATAAGGCAACAGCGAGAGCCAGCAGAATCCAGGCAGCGACGTCGTTGAAGGCGGCCGCAGCCATGGCAGTCTCGCCGACCTGTGTGGTGAGGAGCTTGAGCTCCGCAAGGATGCGAGCGAGGACAGGGAAAGCGGTAACAGAGAGGGAGACGCCCATGAACACGAGGTATTGCGCGTACCCCACGTGTTCCTCTCCCTTGACAGCTCGGCGGAGGATAAAGGTGATTCCAACACCGAAAATGAAGGGAATGGAGATCCCAGCGAGGGCTATGGCGAAGGCACTTCTTCCTGTGCGACGGATTGAGCTCAAATCGAGCTCGATACCGACCAGAAAGAGGAAGAAGAGGAGGCCTATGCTCGCCACGGATTCGAGAATCGGAGTGCTCCATGATGGGAACACCAACCTCAAGAAATCTTCGTTCCGGCCAAGTGCTGATGGTCCTAGCAAAATCCCACCCTTAATTATGGGACAAAAAAGCTCATGTTAAACAAGTTGTGAATATAATTGCATGAAGAAAAAAAAGAGGAAAATGAAAATAACTATATTACTACTATATACCGCTACAGATTTCTTTTTTTTTTTAAAGAAAAAACCTTGTATTTAATTATTTATGAATTTAATCTTTTCTTTATGTATGAAATCTCTCAAAGGAAAAGACTGAAAAAAAATAGTATGGAAAACTATATACATATTGTGTTAATATTAATAATATACAAAGCTCTTGAAAACGTCCCCCCAAATTAGCTAAAAATAAATAAAGATGTGTTATGTGTATTAATATTAACAATTGTACATGACATGTTGAGATGTATAGAGTACAATTCAAATCAAATATTGCCCCGGCCCACTCTAAATTCAAAAAAAAAAAAAAAAAAAAAAAAAAAAAAAAAAAAAAAAAAAAAACTTACTAGGATCTCGGCAATGACTTTGGGTTGGCGGAGGGGCTTAAGAAGGAAAGCAAGAAAACGGCTGATGAAAAGGACTAAAATGGTTTGAAGTATTAACAAAGGGAAAGCGAAGTGGAAAGGATTATCGCCTTGCCATGCTCCATCAGATGAGGTCTCTATTCTTGTTGTGTTTACCATGCTTTCGTTTATGTACGTAGACGATCTCTGATCTCTAGAAAATGGGGTTGTATGTGTATATATGCATGTATATATGTAAGTTAAGATTTGGCAATATTTCGATTCTACTACTTTAGTGTGACTGAAGAATTTTTGGTCTCGTACGTAGAATATATGTAGTATAGAAAGGTTCAACCCACTAAGAGGAAGAAAATGTTTTTATGGATACAGAATATTTAAGTACTGATCACTATGATTGCTTTTTCAACTGTTTTATCGAAAAAGATATGCACTCTTATAACTAGGTGACCCGGTCACCTTCCAAATTCTAATTTTTATTGTTAAAATTAGATTTATGACGATCTCCGCCTTTTTTTATTTTTTTTATTAATTATGAAAGTTTCTCTCTGATTCTTGTAATATTTTGCCGTAACATTCGTTCCCTAAAAGTATAATGATAAGTGCATAATTTTTTATATTTTCATTGAATTCCTTCATATTTTCTTTGCTTGATTCTAAAAGTTTTAGAGTTTTATTAGGTTTTTATGTTTTGTAGGTGATTGGAACAAAAAAAGAATCAAGGAACGATTTAGTAAGGGATTCGACATACTTTTGAGATATTTCGGAATAATATTGGATGCCAAAATGAAGAAAATATACAGAGGGCATGTTTAAAGAAAATAAAATGAAGAACAAGAGAATTGTTGATTAAAAAAAAAAAACGTGCAACTGCAGTGCACCAACCAAGCCCACCAAGCCAACCAAGCCCATTAAGCAAAAGAAAGAGTTGCCGACTAAGTCAAGATAACTCAAAAGTCAAAACTAAGTCAAGATAACTCAAAAAATTTGACCGTGGAATCCAAGATGGAAGGGTATAAATAGATGGGAGCAGCCGGCCCTGAGGAGGGAATTCTCATATATTATTCCAGCCACCTTTTTTGAGAGAAAAAGTGAGAGGAGAAAGAGGAATTCATCAGCAATTCAAGGAAGATTCATTCGTGTGAAGATTTCTTTCAAGATTCGTAGAGTTTCTATTCTTTTCTTCTTTTCTTTGAACTCCATATGTTTTTTATTTATTTTTCTTCGTGTTATTTTATCATTATGTTAGGCTAAATTTTTGTTTGGTTAAGAGTGATGTCGAAACCCTAGACATGAAATTTATGTTTGAATGATTTGATATTGTTTTTAATTTCTCAATTGAAATTGTTTATGTTCTTCCAATTTAATTGTTCATGATGTCACACCCTGAAGCCATGGTTAGTGACGTGGAGGCTCGATTAGGAGTAATTATCAATATTCAAAAGTAAAGTATTAAGAAAATTCCTAAATAAGCCTCCGTGTCGTTGAAAATATATTACAAGGAAGAGGCTAAAACTCGAGCTTCTAACATCACTCAAGGCTTCACCCACAGGACATGCAGTATTACACATATATGAACATGTAAACAACATTACAAACATCAACCACAGCCTAGTTTTCCAAATATTCACAGTTTACAGAGTTTACAATTCTTACATTTGTACACCAGGAGGATGAACAAAATCTAATCTTGATCGGACGGTAGCAACCTACTCAGCTACTCCGCACTGCTCTTAGAGTCGCCTGGGAGGGGTTTAATATTTTTAAAACAATGAAACGTGAGCGAAAGGCCCAGTAGGATATATTTTAAAATAGCTTTATAAACTAGTAAATAAGTGAGTAAGCAAGTAAATAAATAAATGAGCAAGTAAATAAGACATTCAGTTCCAACACAACAGCCAGAACCTCACATCTTTTTTCTGAAAGGAATGTAAACTGAAAATCTTCGTATTACAGGCATCAACAAGTAATTTATACTATGATAAATTACTTACACAACCACAAGCACAAGCCTTATCACTCCCGGGCCGAGTTTCAGGTTCTGCCCCCAAGGATGCACTCTCCACATCCTATCTATGCCATCAGCCAGTTTACCGATTCGCAAGATCTCTTGTCTTAAGAAATCATTCATTAAACTTTATGAAACAGTTCATTATAATTCCAATAGCTGAAATCAAGCTATTATTTTAAACATGCTTTTCTTTCGCAAACATGCCCTCTCTTTAAACCATTTGCAAGGCCAAAACTCTTTCAAAAATCAGGCTATCAAGGAAAGAGGTAAGAAATCTTACCTTTCAAGTACCAAACCTGTGTCTAGCATTGCACTATTCTGACTTTCGCTTCCTCAAAGCCTCTCAATCCGAGTCCTCAGCTAGCACTGATACAAAACCACACTTTAGGATCCAATTCTCATTCCTAAAGCAATTCAATACCAATTATACACTTTGATTTCCTATTAGTGTGCCATAATTCAATTACCGGTTTCACAAACCATTTCATGTTTCAAATCATCATTCTAAGGGTTTTCAATCCCAAAACATGGATTAAAGATGCTAATCCATTCATTCTAGGTCCCCAAATGAAGTTAATTTGGGTTTTCCTCAAAAACTGAGGTCAAAATAGGGTTTTTCAACAAAACAGGGTCAAACCCCATGTACACCAGTCGACCAGTGACAGAGCAGTGCAACACCACCGGTTGACCGGTGGTGTGCAATTCGGTCAACCGCACAGGTCGACCTGATGTAGTGCAATCCGGTCGACCGCACAGGTCGACCTGATGTAGTGCAATCTGGTCGACTGTATAGGTCGACCGGTGGGAGCCTGACAGCTTGACCGAAAGGGCCGATCTGAAGAAAATTTGGCCAAAACCTGCAATTCCAAGTCCAAATTTGAAATATTTCAAGGGGAAACAATCAAATCCAGGTTCTAGGTACAAAATCAAGTCTAAAGAACCCAAGATCCCCAATTTCTACCATGGTTTTACATAAAATCGTTCAAAATCCATTTCAAATCAAAAATAAGTTTTCTAATCCGAAAAACTTGAGATTCAAGATAGGTTTTCAGAAATCTTACCTCAAATCTTTCTCTTGACGTTAAAAACTTCTTTAAATTCCTCTTTGATTCGAGATTTGGTTAGTTTGAATCAAAACGGGAGAGAGAGAAAGAGAGAGTGAGAATGAGAGTGAGAGAGAAAGAGAGGGTACTCGGGAAGGGAAAAAGAAAAGGAAGAAAAAGAAAAGAAAAGAAAAAAGGACAGGTGTCACAAAATTAAAAGACAATCCAGAAAATGTGTCTACACACACTCCTGAGAAAAAATGTAAATACTGAGAATATTTAAATTCCTTGAAAATATTTAATTTACTCGTCAGAAACATTTAATACACATAATTATTTAATTAAACTAGATTAGGCACACTAATAAATCTTAATTATCTTAATTAATCTCGTTTAATTCTTCATGGTGTTACAGTTATTTTATCATTATGTTAGGCTAAATTTATGTTTGGTTAAGGGTGATGTCGAAACCCTAGACATGAAATTTATGTTTGAATGATTTGATATTGTTTCTAATTTCTCAATAGAAATTGTTTATGTTCTTCTAATTTAATTGTTCACGATTATTTTCTTATTTTTCTTGGATGCGCAACTAATTAGGATTTGAAAATCATCTATTGCTAGATTGGGAATTCTTGATCTGTAATCATCTTGAGTTTCTAATTACCTATAGTAAATTGTGATCAATAATTGCGGGAGGCTTGTGATTGCATGAGGAACATAACCTAGGTTGAATATTCCAAGCTTGTGTGTTTATTGCCTAGATTAATCTATCTTTCTCAACTTAATGCTTCCCTTGAATTGAATCTAGAGACCTTGTTTTAGGTTATTTAAGGGAAAGGGATTAAATAAAGAGCTTATTTTATTTAACAATAAATTAAGGAACGATTGAGATATCATAACTTATTGTTATCTACAATTGGTGGTTTCGATAGGAAATTGAGAATTTTATCATTCATTCATCGTAATTCCATTATCGAAAGGTGGAGATTAATCCTTTAACCGTATTTTTATTATTGATTGTTCTTTATTTATTTTTAAGCACTGTTTATTTGATTTCTTGTTTAATTTTCGTTCTTTAGTTTAGAATCCAAAACCTAATTTTTATTTAATTGCAAGATTTTTAACTTATTAATTAAGATCAATCTTCTGTGGGAACAATCCTTACTCATTACTACACTTAATAATGACAGACTAAAGTAAGGTTCAATTTAAGGTCCTACCAAATCACCATCATATAAATTATTAACAAAAAAAATAAAAAGACTCGTCCCGTACAATTTTAAGGGAAAATTGACGCATGGTAGTTAGGGGTATTTTGATAATCTTCCACGTTATTGTAAAAGATTGAGGGCTTGTTCTTTTGAAGTAAAACTCAAAAAAAAATTTGAACTCAAGTTATAATTGTTGGGAATAGTGTCCTAGAAGCATGAGATGTAAAAGGATATTTATTATTTATTTAATAAAAGAGTTTATTCATCATTTTATGTGCATATATTTATGAATATTTTATGAATATCAAATAAAATTCCTTGATTATTTAAGTAACCTTAAACATGGTATATAAGTGTTGTATACGAGAGGATAATGTTTAAGGATAATAATCAAAAGTAATTGTTCATAATGAATTTAATTAAAGTTCAGAATCTTTAATTAAAAAACATTATAAATACATGTCATTCCCATTTAGAATGGAACGGTGTTATCCGCACTGTTAATATGACGAGATATTGAATGAGTGTATTTCGCATAATGAGATTATGTGGAACAAGGACACAGACACAATATGAATTTCTAATAATTTCCGTTAAGCATAGAAATTCTAATTGAGT